GAGAGAGAGAGAGAGAGAGAGAGAGAGAGAGAGAGAGACATATAAATTGAGAATGACTCTTGAAGGACCAGCATCACATCCTCTTGTACCACTGTTTGAAGAATTTATCTTCCAGAATCTGGCAGTAAGTTTTGGGAGTTCATCTTTAGTCCATCTCGAGATTTTATCTGTAGAAGATAACCTGCTTAATAATTATGCACACCTGAATATAAGGTGTTTTTCACTTCCAGCCTTCATGAACAATAATATAAAGATTATAAGTGATTAAATACAAGATTAATAGTGGTTATTAAGATTGATGTTGTTTGGAATTGGTAAAATATGCTTGGAAAAAAATATGATCAGAATATCAACTTGCATAATAATTATGCATGCACTGTATTTTTCCTCTTCTGCTGTCGTGGTAATGCAATAAATGTTGTGAATGGTTGTCAAGGCAGCCAATCAGAATTTAGTAGCCTCGGAATTATGGCATACTGTAACGCTGGGTTGTGTTGAGCAAGCAAGCTGATGGCATTTAGAGAGCACTGAGGGGGGGCATCAAGGGAGCAAGCTAGTGAAACGATGCATGTACAAAAGAGAAGGTCTGCACACATCCCAAAACTTATTTTAAATGCTAAATAGATTTTCGTGCGCTCGAAATACTTTTTTCTCTGCGAAACGAACATTATCTCAACAAAACTCAGATCGCGCGCGTGCAAAATTCACTTTTGTGCTCTCAAAATATAATCTTTGAGAAACAGACAGTTATCTTGAAAACAGACACGTCAAGCGGACACTTTCAGCTCCCGTTAGTGACACTCTCGCGGTGTTTGCATACTCTATCACAGATGAAGTGAATTAAATGCGATATTTGTCAAATACACAGACGTTTCAGAAACGTTTTCATGAGCAACAAAAACATTTTATATAACTTTTTATATTAATACAGCGCCATCTTTTCAAGAATAAAGTTCAACAAAATCATACTATTTAAATAGCCTACTAAAGTGGGGGAACATATGCTTTTATCAGTGTTGTATGATAAACGTGACTCAATATAACAGTGCGACTACAGTAAAAAAAGCTTTTACCGTTCTAAAAACAGATTTGTGAAAAGGTTAGAAGAAACCCGAAACACACGTGATCGTTGTCATGCGGTGAATCTGGCCAATCGTGAAACTGGTGTCGTGATCAGGGCTGCGTTCAGCCGCTGCAAAAACGGTGCAAAACGGGTTTTAAACGGAAACAGTGGTGCGTTGAACACCCTGTTCTGATGACGCAAGAGTTGCAACTGTGGCAGCTGAGAAGGCCATTCTTTGTGTTCTTTTTGAAGAATTTTCGGAGCCTGATGAAATCGGTATAAATACGTGTTTAATACTGCAAAATACGCTCGATGGTACAGTCACTGCCCTTGCCCTCCAGAATAAAAGAGAACATCCCAATCAAATGAAGGGATTTGTGGAAACTGTGGTTCCTAATTATTGTGATCCAACATTTGCCTCGCATTTCAGGATGAAAAGACAAACATTTCAGGTGAAGGATAATCCATTTCTTAACTCCGAGACTGTGTTATGATCTATATGGCCTTATTATTTTTATTGGGAGTATTAGGCTTATCATTATTGCTGATCGCTGTTGTCGTGCTATGATATTGTAATATTTACCATTATATAATCAGAGGGGTATAGAAAAGTTTATTAAAGTGTCACTCCATAATACAATAGCAAAATATATAAATATGTATAGTATTTTTATGTTACATTAATCAGTATTTTTATTTTTTGTTTAGATATTCTTGAAAACGTCACAAAGTCAGGATAGGACACCAAAAAGGGTCAAAATACTCTTTAAACCATAGAAGGGTTAAAGGGGTCATATGATGCGATTTCAATTTTTCCTTTCTCTTTGGAGTGTTACAAGCTCTTGGTGCATAAAGAAGATCTGTAAAGTTGCAAAGACTAAAGTCTTAAATCCAAAGAGATATTCTTTATAAGAGTTCAGAGTCAGCCACGCCTACCTAAAGCGGCTCGTTCTAACACACCCCCACAT